ATGTGCCATCACACACACTCTCAATCATCATCTCAGGAAGCCCAGGGGGCGAGGCCAACACAGCACACTGAGGATTAAACCCTGGCCACTTTGCTCTGCCTAACTAGGCCTTTTAGTCTGCTGAGCTATCTGGCCGCCCAAGGTTATTTCTTTTTCTAAAAAATAAAAACTCTTAAAGCGACTACTACTCAGTAGCTCCAAAACCTGGTACTTGTGTGGAGTTCATTGAAGACGTGTCCATCAATTTGGGATTGCAAAAGAATCAAACCAAAACAAGCAACAAAGTGAAATTATAAACGTATTTCACATTGTGGAGAGAAAACAAAAATAGTAAGTACATGTGAAAATGTTCCATACTCAAAGTGGTTCCATATTCAACCCCTTTGTCATGATTTTGAACTTTTCTTAACATATTTTACATTTGTGTACAATATATGTATTTTTAATTTTTTTAAGTTTAATAATATCAATGTTTATTTTGCAAAAATTAGGACATTTGTTGTAAAGACATAATATGAAGACTTTTTAAGGCTTTTTGCATATTTTAAAAAAACTTAAAAAGCCAATAATATAATAAATTTTACATATGTTAAAAATACAAGGATTCAAGGAACCAAAGCCATTAGAAGCAATCAGAAAGATCTGATATACGATATAAAGACAAGCATGGAAAATAACTTTCTGGGCTCTGATAGACTGAGGTGGCATTAACGCCCAAGTTCTCACCCAGGCAATCCAGGAGCCATCAAATTCTGAAATGAAAGTCAACCTCACTAGTCATGAACCCTCAGCTAACCTAAGAGCAGCTCCTGTCTCCAGAAGTTTCTTGACCTTGTTTCTATTCACATCATCCAGATCCTTTGTCCTCTTGCCCTTTGGTGGAAATCTGTACCGCTAAGGTGCACAGTGCATGAATTTACTACTTGCTTCACTAAACTGTTTAATTTTTAACTCATGTATTTTTTATGTAAGTTACTGTATTTCCTTATAAGATGAGCATTTCAACAGTTTTGACAGGTGCCAACCAACTTTTTTTTTTTAAACTGGGCACACATCAAATCTAGCATCATGGGAGTTTTATTGTGCAGTGAAACTTTTAAACTATCAATACAAATGCCAGGATACTATATAAAACATCCACAGGAACATTTTTCAACTTGTTTTTGAATAGTTCACAAATATTTGCTACATAAATCAACGTACAACAGAAATGGTACATCTTCTTGCAATTTGCATACAGTAGAAAAACATGTATATATATTGGGTGGCAGCGGAGCTCAGAATCTTCCTCTTCCATCACCACCACCTAGAGGAGGGATCTGAGGGCCTATGACAGAAGAGGAAGACCTGGAGACCGCTCTGATGGTATGATTGCTTTCAGTGCTGACGAAATGTGGGACTCTGTAAGTTTACTTTTAGCAGTGAAAAACTGACTAACATACCAGAATGCAGTTGGACAGAAGTGCAATATCTCTAGGGTGTTCATGCTAAGTGAAAATCATTTTATTTTCTTTTGGGTACAAATTATTTTCAATATGCTGCACTTTTCAAGTTTAAATCTACTTTTCAAACTTCAAGTCAGGGTTAACAGTAAATAAGAAGCCAAAAGAAAAGGGAGCTCTTGGTTAGGTCATTTGGATAATGCTACCTTATGATTTTTTTTTTAATTCAGAAAACACTTTAAACAGGAATCATCCCTGTATGAACACTTTCAAAGAATAAACACACATAACAACAACAACAAATAAATACCCAATGTAGCTACAGCAAGCACCAATTCAGTAACACATATTACATTAGACTAGAAGGCAACAGAACTTTAGGGTTCAATGAACAAGAGAAAACCCCATAGAACACGTTAGGATAAAGTTCTGTTTGACCCTAAGATTGGTCTAAACGGTTTCCTCCTAGGCATTTACTTCTTAAATGTTCTCATTTTAACAGGGAACAAGTTCCTATTTAACAAGTAATAGCTGTGGAATTGTTATTGATTTTTAGCAGAATTTATACTCTTCTTTTTAAAGAC